CCAGATTATACAGGGTTTTATAAACTATGCAAAATTTACCTTATACTTAGGACAGAGGGTAGCCATTGAAGGGTTCTGGGAAGAGTAACAAACAGATTTAATATTTAAAAGTTCATCTTGGCTGTCTTGAATAGCAGGGATTGAAAAAAGACAAGATGTGGAGACCATTCAAGTAACTCGTAATTTGGGCTAGAATGACACTGATACAGTTGGTTTCTTACCATTTCTGTATTTCTGACACTAAGAAGTACATTTTGTCTCCCAGATCTTTGGCTCAGGGGAAGTGGCCCTTCCAGCACTAATGTTCCTAAATTCCAGGTCTGCACAATTCTGCATTTCAAAGCCATTCTCCTTCCTTGCAACTTTCTCACATCTAACTTTTCCTTGTGCACTCATTCCAAATCTTGTTTCTTCTATCTTGCCAATCAGGACAATGGCTTCTCAGGACAATATGCTTTTTATTTACCAGCCAGAATGCTTTCATTCAAATCAGCATTAGCACTCAGCTTACAGATTTGGGCTTTATTACAAGAAATAATGATAAATACTAGGGTAAAAAACTGTGTAACAGGTCCCCACTCCAATCTCCAATTAATAATGAGGCACTAAAATCACTTGGAGCTTTTAAACGACAGCTTCTCATTTTATTCAGAAAGACCTATCAGGTGTGGAGTTATCTCCATTTTAAGGCTCACCGTGAAAGCCCGCAGTTCTCTCCTCTCGATTCTGCAGTCGCTACCCGCAACCCCGCCAGGACAGTCACCAGTATCTCCGAGCCCTCTGGGAAGTGGACTCCTTCCGCCGAGACCCCCGACGTGGCCCTGTCGCCAAGTGCGCAGATGCGACTCCGCACGGAGCCTTGGCCTTAAGTCTTTTGTCTTCTCGGAGCCCCAAGACGACTCTGTCCGCCCGTCCCAAAGCGCAGCCCAGTGGAGATCGAGTCCGCAGCCGGTGCACGCAGCTCTAATGCCTCCCACCGCAGCTCGAGCCAGGCTCTCAGGTTCGGGCCTCGGTGGAAAACGGCGGGGCCGTGCCAGCATCCAGCTCCGCCTCCGGCATCGATGAACATCCCGCTGCGTCCCGAGCCGGCTTTGTTGGTTTAGCTCTGAGCGGAGAGACGCCTGGAAGCAGGGTTGCCGCTAAGCCTCCTGGGCAGTGGAGTCCGGGAGCGTGAAGTGGGCGTGACGGACCGGGGCATTCGGGGAGCCAGATTGTAGAGGCCGGAGGGCTCGGCTTCCGAGGTGTGGAGAGCGAGAGCGCCTCCGCCTGGTTTTGACCTTAAATCTTGTCACTCCACCAAGATCCTTAAGGTTCTGAAATTTTGGTACAGAAAGAAAAACATGGGGACCGCATCTTACTTATTCTCCTCTGTGTTTATCGGTTTGGGAGCCCGCCTGTATTTGCGGGAGCCACTGCAAGGGATTTAACTTAAAGTATGAGGGAATCTCGGCCTGTATTTTTCCAGGGTCTTAAAATAAGGAACTAGTGAGGGCCCAACTGATCAACTGTTTTGTGTTTATGAATAGCGAGGATGAACCAACTATGGGAGCCCTGCTTATTATAGTTATTGCTACCAGAATCACAGGTCACCTTATGGACACTTGTGACATTTAGGGTCTCATAGGAGTTTCTGTACGATTTGGAACCAGATGTGTGACTGAGTCTCACAGTTCACCACCCTCTTTTTTTTGCCCTGATATGCCATGTAGTGGCTTATCTTGGTACTCCAGAGGATGGTCTTCCAGCCTTAAATAATAAAGGTTCCAAGCAAAATAGAATTACTTCTGAGGCCCTAGAACTTAAATGCATAGGACTAAGCTTCCTAGGAGCAGGAGGGAGTAAAGGGAGATGCTCCAAAGAGCAGGACAATTCCAGAGGAGGGCAAGCCTAACATCGAAATCTTTCTCCAGAGCTTCAGAGTTGAATGATTTACACAAAGAAGCACAAAGATTACGTATTGCTGAAAATCCATGTTTATCTCATCTGAAACAGTGAATAAGGAGAAAGTCAAAGCAATAACAGGACAAAGAAGAGAAGCTGATCATGGATTATCTAACCATTAAAGTTGGGGGAAAAGGTAAGAATTGCAGAAATAAGCATGAAGTTGAAGTAGTGACAAGTGGAGGAAATGCTTTTGAGGAGATTGAAAAGGTTAGTTGTCCCTGTATGATAGAAAAGGGAAGCAGACACATGTCAGGGGAAAGCCCTGAAGTAGAGAAACTCTCAGTAAGCCACCATGTGTGGGAATCACTAAACAGGCTTCTTGTAGCTCATTCTCCAGTCCCATCTTTTTCTTTTAGCACTTCTGCGTTCATCCATATTCCCTCTGAAGCCACGCAAGGGAAAATATTCTATAGTGGTTGCTTTTGTGATGAAGGGCAGGTCATACTTTTCCACCCCTGTTAGACTGTTTCAAGAAGTTGATGTATTGTGGATCTGTGAGTTTAACTTTTTTGGTCAAAGCACTTTCACTTTATTGTCTTGTTTTATCCTCATCTGAGCTTTTTGAGTTAAAGTAGGAGATATATAGATATATATATATATAAATTTATATCTATCTATATATATATCTATCTATATATATATATATAGATAGATATAAATAAATTCAGCTGGCTTGTGATAGCTTTTGTCCTAGTAAATTTGGAAGTAGGAAGATAGAGTTTTATCTCTTTTATGGCTTTTTTCCTTCTCCTTCTAGTCATGACTACTGAGGATGCTTCTGTGCCCCAAAAACAGAGCACAGAAGAAATGGAATCTACTGTTGAGCTCCTGCCTGTTGAGTTCCAGGTAAGTGTAAGTTTAATTTCCTTCCCCTGAAATCTTAGCTTGGTGTTTATAGTATGTCCTTGTTTCTTCCACCTTGTTTCAGAGGTTCATTTCATAGAAATCCATTGTAGAGAACTGAACCAAAGTAATTTTTTCTTGAAGACTTGAGGCTCCAGGGGTGCTCAGGCTGAAGCTTTAAATATGGGATTAATCTGAGTTTTAAAGTATGGAACTGTGATCACTAAGAGAATAAGTGTAGATAGAAAAGAGATGAGATCTTCTTACTGAATTCTGTAGCTCTGCAACACTTAGAGATCAAGGAGATGGAGAGGAACCAGCAAAGGAGACTGAGAAGATATGGCCAATGAATTAAAGGGAAGCCAAAAGTGTGGCATCGTGGTAACTAATAGAAACAAGTGTTTTAAAGAGCTGTGTTAAATGCTGCTGCTAAGTCAAGTAAGATGAGGCCGGAGAGTTGATCATTGGGTTAAAAAATATGAAGATCATTGATGACTGCCAAGAACAATTTCATGGAGTAGTAGGAGCTAAGGCCAGATTGGGATGGGTTTAGAAGAAAATAGGTGGAAATTGGAACCAGAGACTATAAACAACTATTTTGAAGAGTTTTACTGTAAAGGAAAAGAAAAGAGTAGAGTGATAGCTAGAAGGACTTGTAAGACCAAAGAGACTTTGTTATTTTTTTTTAAAAAAAGCGGAGAAATAACAGGTTGTTTATAGGTATATAAGAGTAAATGGAGAATAGGTTTAAGGACTGAGCTCTGGGGAACTCCAACATTTGGAGCCACTTTTCAGACATTATTACATTTATTTTAAACAAATGATCTTGTAAGTTAGGGATGATACCTATTTCAAAGTAAACATAGAGTTTGAATCATTTTAGAACAGTTGATCATCTTCAATAAAAATTAGTAAGTCCATTCATTAAGAACAACTTTAATTACTAAAGGATAACAAGACAAATCTAAAAGTCATGGACCCAAATACAGAGAAAGAAGAAAAATCTATTTAGAATAGCATGACTTTCCATATGCATTCATGATAGCAAGCTGAATTTCTATAAAAGCTCAGAATATTCCAGGAATCAGTATAAATTGCATGTATGAGCCTTATCCCATCTACAGTGTAGTTAGTAATTAACACTTGTTTGTCATTCCAAATGTTAGATTTATTTAGTAAAATATGTGAGAAGCAGAAGAGTATAGTTAAGAGTATAGTTCTGGAGTCAGAACTGCCTGAGTCTAAATCTTAGCTCCAATCTTTACATCTGTAAATAATGTTAACAATAATACTTACTTCATATAGTTATTATTGCAAGAGGTAGTTCAAAGGACTTAGAAAATAACATAGACAATTGTTATAAATGTTAGCTATTAGTATTTTCTCTAACATAGACTAATACTTAGGAATTTAAAAATATTCCATAAAATGGTTAAAATAAAGATTTAACCTTTAAATTAAATAACACTTTCTCTTCTAGATCGTTCTCTTCTCTCAAGGATTACCAAGTCTTACAAGAATGTGCTTGTTCTTCCAGGAATTGGTGACTGTCAAAGATGAGGAAATGGACTTCATCCATGTGGAGGAAGAAGAGCTGAATTCTGCCCAGAGGTACATGGGCATGGATATGAAGGTGGAGACTTGTGGGAGCCTAGTATTTTGGGGTAAGGAAGTTATTTTGTAATGCAAGCTGCTTATTGGAACATAAGTTTTCTCTATAATTAATGGCATAAAATGTCATAGTTTTGCTTATGATCCAGAGAGCTCTGATCTCCTACAGGATCCCTGATCACTTTAGGCTCAGAATTCGTCTTCTTTTTTCTTTTGGTAAGTTAAAGTTCACCATACGTGTAATTGAAAAAGGACAGCTTCATTATATTGATTTTAAGATTTACAAAACTGTAGTAATCAAAACAGTGTAGTATTGCTGAAAGGATAGATGTAGATTAATGGAACAGAACAGAAAGTCTAGGAATAAACCCACACATATATGGTCAATTAATTTCTGAAAAATGTGCAAAGACAATTCAATGTTAAAAGGAGAATCTTTTCAATAATTGGACATCCATAAAATGAACTTTAAGTCATACCTCTCATCATGTATAGTAACTCAAAATGGATCACAGACCTAATTATAAAACTTAAAACTATAAAACTTCTAGAAGAAACGTTAAAGATAGTCATTGTAACTCTTTTTAAGGCAAAATTTTGTTAGATATGGCAGCAAAATCTTGATCTGGTAAAGCCATCTGGGTCTTGAGTTTATTTTATTGGAAAGTTTTTAACCTTGAATTTGGGTCCCCTGTTACATAGAGGACCATTCAGATTATTTATTTCTTCTTGAGCGAGCTCTGGTAATGCTTTTCCATCTTTCATTCCTGATATTGGTAATCTGTATCTTCTATATTTTAATTTTATTGGTCTTCCTAGGAGTTTAACAATTTTATTGATCTTTTCAAGGAACCAGCTTTTGATTTCATTGATTCTATGTATAGTTTTCTGTTCTCCATTTTGTTCATTGATGCTATTATCTTTATTATTTTTCACCTTTGCTAATTTTGTGTCTACTTTGCTCTCCTTAAGGTAGGAGCTTGATCATTGGTATAAGATCTTTCTTCACTTGCAATATGAACATTTAATGTTATAAATTTCTAAGTACTGCTTTAGCTGCATTCTACAATTTTGATATGAAGTGTTTTCATTTCTGTTCAGTTCAATATAATTCAATATTCACTCTTCCTTGACTCATGAATTATTTACGAATTCCAAAATTTTAGGTGATTTTCAATAATTTTCTGTTTTTAAATTTTGTGGTTTAGTTCTGTGTGGTCAGCGATACTTTGTATGATTGCAATTCTTTACAATTTTTGAGACTTGTTTTATTATCCATAATATAGTCTCAATGAATGTTCCACGTACGCTTAAAAAAATTTAATTAGGTCAGGTTGCTTGACAGTGTTGTTCTGGTCTTCTATATCCTTACTGATTTGTTGTCTACTGGCTTCCGTTGATTACTGATGGAGGACAGTTGAATTATCTAACTATAACTGTGGGTTTGTCTCTTTCTCCTTTTAGTTCTATCAGCTTTTGCTTAAAGTAGTCTGAAATTCTTTTGTTAGGTGCATATACGTTAAGAGTTTTATGTCTTCTTGGTGAATTGACTCCTTTATCATTATGTAGTATCCCTCTTTAATTTTGGTAATATTCCATGTTTGCAAGTTTATTTTGTCTGATATTAATATAGCCATGGTAGCTTTTAATTAGTGTTGCATAGTATATATTTCCATTCTTTTAGTTTAACCTACTTAAAGTGGTTTCTTGTGGACAGCATACAATTGGGTCCAGTTGTAAAATACATTTTGACAATGTCTGTGATTTTTCAATTGGTATGTTTAGATCATTTACATTTAAAATCATTATTGATATGGTTGGATTTGAATCTTCCTTACAGCTAATTGTTTTCTATTTGTTCCATATTTTTCTCATAATTTTTTTCTGTGTTTTTTCATTATTTTTATTCCAATTTATCTCCACTATTAGCTTATTATTAAACCTTATTCTTATATTATTTTATTTTATTTTTTAAGTTTATTGGGGTAACATTGGTTAATACAATTATATAATTTTCAAGTGTACATTATAACTTGACATCTATCTATTCTATTGTGTGATTACCACCCAGAGTCCAATTTCCTTCAGCTACCATATATTTAATCCCCTTTATCCACTTCACCCTCTTCCAACTCCCTTATATTTGACCTCCTTTACCCTGTCTAACTCTTCCCTCCTCCCTGACCCCCTACCCTCTTGGTAACCACTAGTCCATTGTCCATGTCCCTGAATCTCTATCCCGTTCATTTGTTGCTTTTAGGTTTATATCCCACATATAAGTGATATCATGTGATTTTCAACTTTTTCAGTCTGGCTTATTTTGCTTAGCGTGATTATCTCGAGGTCCATCCAGGTTGTTGCAAATGGCAGTATTTCATCTCTTCTTATGGCTGAGTAATATTCAATTGTATATGTGTACCACAGCTTCTTTAGCCAGTCATGTATCGTAGGACACTTTGGTTGCTTCCATGTCCTGGTCACTGTGAAAAATGCTGCTATGAACATCTTTCGGGATTGCTGGATCACATGGCAGATCAATTCTTAGTTTTTTGAGGGACCTCTATAGTGGCTATACCACTTTGCAGTCCCACCAGCAGTGTATGAGGGTTCCTTTTTCTCTGAATCCTCTCCAACATTTGTTATTACTTGTTCTGTTGATTGTAGCTATTCTAACAGGTGTGAGATGGTATCTCATTGTGGTTTTGATTTGCATTTCCCTAATAGCTAGTGATATTGAGCATCTTTTCATATTTTTGTTGGCCATTTGTATGTCCTCTAGGGAGAAGTGTCTGTTCAGGTCCTCTTCCAATTTTTTGATTGGATCTAGTAAACCTTATTTTTAAAGTTTCTTTAAATGGTTTTCCTATGCTTCTTTAATTAATCACAGTATACCTTTAAATAATATGCTACTTTATGTATAGTATGGGAATCTTCTATAAACTTCTAATTTCTCTCTCTCATCTTTTTTGTAATTGTTGTCTTGCATTTTACCTTTATGTATGCTATAAACCCATAATATTTTGCTATTGTTTTTGTTTAGGACAGTCATTATCTTTTAGAGCAATTAAAAATAAGAAAAAATTATATACTCATAAAAATTAATATTTATTTTTATTTATGACATTCCTGGCACATTTTTTTTAATGTAGATAAGGGGTTGGCAAACTTTCTCTAAAGAGGCCAAGATAATAAACATTTTCTGCTTTGTGAGCCATATGGTATTTTTTGTAACTACTTAACATTATAGCATGAAGGCAGCCATAAACAATATGCAAACAAATGGGAGTGGCCAGATTTGGCCTGTGGTTGGTCACATTTATCCCATGGGCCATAATATGCTGACTCCTAGTATAGATCCAAGTTTTTGACTGATAACCAGGTACCTTCTGTCTATATCATTTCTTATAGTTCAGGTCTACTGGCATTGAATTCTCTAAGCCTTTGCTTGTCTCAAAAAGTCTGTATTTCATCTTCATTTTTGAAAGATATTTTTCACTGAATATGGAATTATGGTGACAAATTTTTATTTTCTTTCAGCACTTTAAATGTGTCATTTCACTGTCTTTGGGCTCACATAGTTTATGACAAAACTTTGCTGTAATTTTTTATCTTTGTTCTTCTGCATGAAATGCATCTTTTTTTCCTATGGCTATCTGTAAGATTTTCTCTTATGATGATTTTTAACAGTTTGAATATGATGTGTCCATGTGTGTGCATGTATCATCCTATTGGGGGTTCTCTGAGCTTCCTTGGTTCCTTGGTTTGATGTTTCTCATTAATAGTGGAATATTGTCAGCCATTAACACATCAAATATTGTTTCTGCCCATTCTCTCTGTCTCTTTTCTATCCTGGATTCTAATTACATGTATGCTAAAACATTTGATATTGTCCTACAGTTCTTAGATACTCTTCTGTTCTGTTACTTTGTTCTTTCTCTTTTTTTTTCTTAGTGTTTCAGTTTGGGTAATTTCTCTTAACCTATCTGCAAGTTTACTGATTCTTTTCTTACCTTTATTGACACAACTTCTGCACGCATCAAAGACATTCTTCCTCTCTGTACCATATTTTTTTCATTTCTAGCATTTTCATTTGACTTTTCTAGTTTCCATCTCTTTGCTAAATTTCCCCAACTGTTAATGCATGTTGTCTATATTTTCCTCTAGAGCCTTTTACATATAAATCATAGTTATTTTAAATTCCCTTATAGTTTTAATATCTGAGTGATCATTTAATCTGGTTCTGTTGATTACTCTGACTATGGTTTTAGACAATCTGATTTGAATGGAGCTGGAGCTGGGTGCATGGAATGAAGAGAGGATGCAAGCAGACCTGTTATGAGGCTGCTTCATTAGTTTAGGTGAGAGTTGATGATGTTGAATTGGGGTGGTAATAGTGGGGATGAAGAGTACAAAATGGATATGAGACAGATTTGAGAGGAAGTATATCCCTAAAACTTGGTGATTTATTTGTTGTGTTTGGTAGGATAGAAGGAAGAGTTCAATATGATTTTCAAGTTTCTGACTTTCAACTAGAAAAACTTTTGGAGGTTTTGTGAGGATTAGATGTGTTTGTATATTTAACCTTTTAGAATAGTAGCTTACACTTAATTAACACTATGTAAATGTTTGTCCAATATTATAATTCACAGTAAATTTTAAACTTCACATACCATGATATTCTCAACTAATGAAAATTATGGTGACATTACACATATATTTTACTCATATATTGGTTATGTTTCTATAATGGGATAAAACAATTTAAGAATGCTTATTGCCCTCCAGATTTACCTACGTGCTTGTATTGTTTGTATTCAATTCATTTTATACAACATACATTTAATTGTTGTGTGATGTGTTATTTAAAATATATTTAATTTAAAATCTTGGTGGTGCTGTTTTTTTGGATGATGAAACCTGGGAATGTACAGGTTGAGGGAGAGGATGAGTTAACATATGCCTATATTGAATTCAAGGTTTCTTAGTGGATATATATAGTAAATAGTTAGCTATATGGATGTGGAAGAGAGAGAACTGAGCTACAATGGCAATCATATTTCAGTGTATAAATATATCCAAACAACATGTTGTACACCTTAAATTTGCACAATGTTGTGTGTCAATTAAATATATTTCAATTTGTTAAAAGTCAATTAATACCATAGATTGGATGAGGTCTTTAAAGGAGACAGTATAGTTGGAAGGTGACAGGGACAAAAGAGGGGAGCCTAAGATTGAACACTAAGAACTATCAACATTTAAGAAGAAAACACAGCAGAAAAAGATCCAAAGAAATACAGATCCAGAGAAAAAACTGGAGAGCTTATAATTATAAAAGTGAAGAGAGAATATAGGTCAATTATATCTGAACAAAGTTGAGGTGGCAGGGAGAATGTTGTTAGGAGGAAAGCATGGTCAGCACTGTCAAGTGGTACTGAGAGGCTAAGCTAAACAAGGAATGAAAGGATCACTGGATTTAGGTGACATAAATTGTTAGTGACTTCAATGAGAACAGAGAAATTCAGGAACAAGTATGTGATGAGAGAATATGCAAAACCTTTTTGAGAAATTTGGCTATGACAAAAAAAGAAGGAAGAAAGGATGGAGGGAGAGGAGATGGAAGGAAGCAAGGGAGGAAGGAAAGAAAAAAGGGAAAAGTGGTTAGTGGAGACACAAAAACATAATTAAAGTATATGGTAAACAAAAAAAATCTGTGCCTTTAATAAAGGACTGGAGAGAACTATTTAAAAAGTTAAAAGTGGTTGTCTCCAGATGGCATTATTATAAGCGATTTTTGTCTAATACTTTCTTAAACTGTTTGGTCTCAACCTGTGTTTTCATCTTTCTTCCCTTCCTTAGTTATTTTGAGTTAACATTTATTTTCATTCTATCTGCTTATTTTTCTCCCTGGTCAGTCTGTTCAGTTTTTCGTTCACTTAGATAAAGCATTCTCATTGTCTGTCCTTTTTATTGTACCTTATATTAGTCATTCTCCCAGCTCTGTTATTCCCTGAAACAACCTAATTTTCCACCACTATGAGGCACTTTCTGAAAATATTCAAATAAACATTTTAATAGGGATCGTTTTTATTTTTTTATCCTCTTGCCAACTCTGTGGTTTTCTTCTTCTTCTCTTCCTCCCTCCCTCCCCCTCCAATCCCCTACCCTTCTTACCCCTTCCTCCTCTGTCATTATCTTATTATTATTTTATATTAGTTTCAGGTATACAGTATGACAGTTAGACATTTATATAATTTATGAAGTGATCTCCCTGATTACTCTAGCACCCACCTGGCACCACACATAGCCATTACAATAACTCAACAGTTTTCTTACTCTCAACACCAAGAACATAAACATTTTCACTTTTTATTTCAGATTCTGAATCTATATGTGAAACTAAAGAGTTTCTTTCAAAGCAGGAAATGTATGAAGAAGTATCATCTATCTGAAAGGGAGCTAATAATAGAAAGACTTAAAAAGGATGATTCCTGGGACTCCAGATTTACAGAAGCCTGGGAATGTAAAGGCACATTAGAAAGGCAGCAAGGAAATCAGAAGAAAGATTTAAGGCAAGTCATAATTAAACACAAGGAAAACCTTGTGGAGGAGTGTAATGAAATCAGGGGAAGTTCAAACTCAATGAAACATCAGAACATTTACTCATTGGAAATGCAATGAATGTGGGAATTTCTTCAGTTACTATTCAGCCTTTATCCTACACCAGAGAATTCATACTGGAGAGAAGCCCTATGTATGTAATGAATGTGGAAAGGCCTTCAGTCAGAGTTCATCACTTATTCAACATCAGAGAATTCACACTGGAGAGAAACCTTATGAGTGTAACAAATGTGAGAAAGCTTTCAGTCATCGTTCAGCCCTTATTCAACATCATATCATTCATACTGGAGAAAAACCTTATGAATGCAATGAATGTGGGAAGGCCTTCAACCAAAGCATGTACCTTATTCAACATTACAGAATACACACTGGAGAGAAATCCTATATATGTGAGGAATGTGGGAAAGCTTTTAATGACAACTCATCCCTTATTAAACATCAAAGGGTTCATACTGGAGAAAAACCGTATGGATGTAAAGAATCTGGGAAAGCCTTTAGTGGCAGGTCAGGCCTTACTCAGCATCAGAGGTCTTGTATAGATGAAAAGCCATATGAATGTAGCGAATGTAGGAAAGCTTTCAGTTACTGTTCAGCTCTTATTCAAAATCAAAGAACCCACACTGGGGAGAAATCTTACAAATGTAATGAATGTGGGAAAGCCTTCAGTGACTGCGCAGCTCTTGTAAGACATCAGAGAATTCATACAGGAGAGAAGCCTTACAAATGTAAAGAATGTAAGAAAAGCTTCGGTCAGAGCTCATCCCTTACAAAGCATCTGAGAACTCATACTGGAGAGAAACCATATAAATGCAGTGATTGTGACAAAGTCTTCAGCCAGAGTTCATTTCTTATTCTACACCAGAAAACTCATACAGGAGAAAAATTCTACAAATGTAAGAAATATGAGAAAACTTTCAGTGTGTGTTCAGCCTTTCATCAACATGAAAAAATTCATAATGAATAGAATGCAGCAAATTTCTAAAATAATTACATATTCTCACTATGACTGTAATGATGAGCAAAGTTGAAGTACTCACATTACCTGATAACAAGAATTACTATAAAGTTACAATAATTAAGATAGTGTGTATTAGTGTAGGCTAGATAAATAGGTCAGTGAAACAGAAACGAGTCCTGAAATAGACCCACCCACTTAAATTGTCATTTCATTTTCAAAAAGAGGTGTCAGAGCAATTTAACAAATAGTGCTTGAACAACTGGATATTCCATAAGGGGAGGAGGAAAGAACTCTTGGCCTCTATTTCACTTTGTATGCACAAATTAATTAGAAATGGATCAGAAACCTAAATTTAAAAACTAAACTATAAAATACTTAGAAGAAAGCATAGGAGATTACCATCATGAGATGTTGGTAGACAAAGATTTCTTAGGACAGAGAAGCAATAACCATAAAAGAAAAATTATAAATTATACTTAATGAAAATTTAAAACTGTTGTTTTATTTTCATAAGTAGTTAAGAAAATGAATAGGCAACCCACAGACCTGGAGACAATATTTACGAATCATGTATCTGTGATCATGTATCTGTAGACTTGTGTCCAGAGTGTAAAGGGAACTCCGACAATTCCAGAATAAAAAGACAATAACCCAACACATAGTAGGGGCAAGAGAGTTGAACTTCACAAAAGAAAATATACAAATATTTAAGAAATCCATGAAAAAGTGCTCGATAGCATTAATCATCAAGGAGATGCAAATTAAAACCACAGTGAGATACTACTACACACACCTGAACAGTTAAAAAATAAAAATTAAAATTAAAAATACAAATGTTGGTAAGGTTGAGGAACAACTGGTAGTCTCATATATTGCTGGTGAGAATATAAAATGGTACATTTTGAAAAACAGTTTGGCCATTTTTTTAAGTAAAATTAAATGCATGTTCTTTGACTCAGCAATTTCACTCAAGTATTTACAGTAAAAATGGAGACATATGCCTGAAGAAAGAATTGTTTTTAATTTATAATAAAAACAAGAAACAATACAAATTTCCATTAAGAACAGCAGGGAAAATGAAACTCATATATTCATGCAATACTACTTAGCATTTAAAAGGAATGATCTAGTGATACATGCAACAACATGGATGTATCTCACAGATGTTATGCAGAGCAAAAGAAGCCAGATACATACATACATGTGTGTGTGTGTGTGTGTGTGTGTGTGTGTGTGTGTATATTTATACACCATATGATTTCATTTATATGAAGTTCTAGGTGAGGCAACTAATTTTGGTAGTAAGAATGCCTCCCTCCCCACAAAAGATGCCCACACCCTAATCGCTGAAACCTATGAATATGTTGTTACCTGGCAAAAGAGACTTTCCAGATGTAATTAAAGTTAGGGACTTTAAAATGGAGAGATTATCTTGGATTACACATAATTATAATTTTAATTACATGGATCCTTAAAAGCAGAAAACTCTCTGGCTGGAGGTATAAAGGATACAACAAAAATGAAAGAGAAGTTTAAAGCACAGGAAGGATTTTATGCTCCATTGGTGGCTTGAAGATGGAGGGATCCAAGGACCACAGTGCTACAGAAGCTGCCAATAACCTGAATGATCTGGAAGCTCTGGGGGAGAACTTCTCTGGGGAAGAACTTCCAGCTAAGAGCCCAGGCCTGTGGACACCTAAATTTCAGCCTTGTGGGCAGAAAACTAGCTGAGTCCACCTGGACTTCTGGCCTATGAACTGTGAGAGAATAAATTTCTGTTGTTTTTAAGCTGTTAAATTTGTGATGGCAGCAATAGAAAACTATTATATAAATCTAATGTGAAAAAGATTAGAACTGTGATTGCCTCTGTTAGGAGGGATTGACTGGGAAGGGACACTAATGCATTTTCTAGAATGAGGAAACAACTCTATACTTTGATATGAGTGTGAGTTACATGAACATACCCTTCTGTCAAAAGTCATCAAATTGTGTAATTAGAAATTGTGCATATTAGTGTTGTAAATGTTACCTCACACACACATACACAAAACTGTAAATAAACCCTGAATTTTAATAGGTTTGTTTATTGTAGTGGTATGGATCAACAATTTTGAAATCTATGTGTTTATTAGGTATATTATTTAGGATATGATCAGAGAAGCAAAACTAAGGAATTTATAACTGGGAGCTGGATAAGCAGTCTGTGAGTCTGCTGAAGTCAGCCGGGCTGGCAGTTGGGAAGAGAAGATGGATGTGGAGTGTAGAGGAAGAAAATGAAACCCCTATCTACCTTTCACCAGATCCACATTGGTCTCTCTCCACCTCTAAGCCTCCAATACTGATGATGTAGATAATCTGTAAAAAAGATTTCAAGCTTCATAACAGAACTGCACATGAACCTGACTCAGGATTCATAAAAGGTGAAGGAGGAGATCTCGCAGGACCTGAAGGAACTGGAGTCTCAGCTCTTGCCCTAAAGAGATCTGGTGGTAGCCAGAGAAACTAGAATGGGCTGCCATCCTATGCCAACGACTTGAGCCAGCAGACATTCCCCTGAACAGCACAGCACCTGGACTTCCAAGCTTAAACATACCTGATGCTTGACTTCCACCTCCCATATCTCATGCAAATTTTTCTTGTAGCCAATCCTAAATGAAAACTATGCAGGTTAGGCAATTCTGAGAAATGTAGTTCTGTTTTAGCTGAATTCACACTACAAAATCACACAATTCCACTCCCTAAAAATGCCCTCTGCTACTTCTTTATAGCCAAAAACCTACCCCCACTCTTAACCCCTGGAAACCATTGATTTATTCCCCATCTCTAGAATTTTATCTTTAACAGAATATATAAATGGAATCATACCACATATAGAATTTTAGTCTGGCTTGTTTCATTTGGCATAATATATTTAAGATTCATCTATGTAACTGTGTGTGTCAATGGTTTGTTCCTTTTTAGTGGTGAGTAGTATTCCATTATATGGCTATGCCATGGTTTGTTAATCCATTCACTAACTGAAATATATTTGAGGGGTTTCCAGTTTTAAACAATTATTAATAAAGTTGCTATGAACATTAGCATACAGGATTTTGTCTAAACACAAGTTCTCATTTCTCTTGGGGAATTGCGTTGAAGTGGGATTGCTGGATCATATTGTAAATATATGTTTAACTTTAAAGGAAACTTGAAATGTTTTACAAAGTGGCTGTACCATTTTGCATTTCCACCAGCAATGTATGAGAGTTTCAGTTGATCTATGTACTTTCAAGCATTTGGCATTGTCAAGATTTTGATTTCATTTTATTAAAAAAAAATTTATACATGCTAATAGGCATGTAGTGGTATCTAATTGTGGTTTTGCTTTGCATTTCCATAATGGATAATGAAGTTGACCATCTTTTCATGTACTCAGGAATAAAAACAAGTTGAATAAAAAGTTCTCAATAATCCTACCTTCTCAAGTCCTGTGTCAATTTTGTGTGTTCCATTGCCTTCAAACAATAGTTTCTATGTTTTGTTGTTATAGATCATGGCTGCAAAATAGTTCTTTTGTTCTCCTCATTTCTAAAGATGATTTGTTCACTCCTCTCCCCAACTTAACCTTCATTCTGGTTTTAACCATGCAACTTGCTTTGGCCAATGATATGTTAACATAAAACAAGTGTGTGCTTAAAAAGTGCTTGCATGTTTGGGCTTTATACTCTTGTGTCTTCCATGACCATGAAAAGAACTTACCCAGACTAGCCTGTTCTTTCCAGGAAGAGGATGAGAGACAAGTGAAGCTGAACTACTCTGACCGAGACCAGATTAATTCTGCTGACCTTTAGCCAACCTTCAAACATGTGAGCAAGCCCACTCAAAATTAGAATTCTTCAGGCAAGACTAGCATAGAGAAACCAACCTCCAGAAGACCCACAGGCATGACAATAATAAATTCTTACTGTTGTATACCAGGAAACTTATGGTTGTTTATTAAATACTTTTGTAGCAAATGGTCATTAATATATTTGTCTAATATTTTGTCATTTTGACTGACGGGCTATAAATTTTCTCATATATTTCTACTTTTTTTTTTTTTGTGATCACTTTTTCATGTTTTACAGGTTCTCATAATGCTCTGGAATGGTTTGGAGAATGCATTTGCCCCAACCCTATGGAGTTTGCAAATTGTAAGCCATTTTTACATTTGATTTTTTTTGCAAGGTATTGTTAATTTGCATGCAAACATTTAAAGCGCAAGCTAGGGGCTCAGATATCACTCTTGTGAGCTCTTTTCCATACATGGCCTAAGATAGGCTGCTCTTCTGACCATAACCCTAGGCTGATAAAGAGATTTTACCAATGCATTAATTTCCTGGCTTCCTATTTCTTATAAAGTCCAGTTCCAAATTCATGCAAGGCATAGGGCCTGTAGCCTCACCTCTTGCTCCTAGGTAGGTATTAAAATACCAACCTTTAACTTTCCTCCTTAGTGCAGTAGGCTGCACATGTCAGTTTCATAAAAAAATACCAATCTCTAAATGTTATTCAGTTTTGATTTCATTATGGGTTCTGCTGCTTCAGTTCTTCCCCATAATTATAATTTCCCCTTTCTTTCTTTGTTTCTGTCCTTATAGACTTCCATGATTTTTAGCTCAGTGATAAGATTTTTAAAATGTTTTATACAGTATTTTATATTCTTGGGACTAAAAGAAGAAATGTGTTCATTATCTGTCATCTCGTCTAGAAGGCTAAGTCTAGCTTTTATATTTTAATTCTAAGAATATCCAGTAAATAAGACACATCATTGTGCTCCAAATTAAGTAAAAACACCTCATGAAAGATCAAAATTCCTTCCTCTAGTCCCAATTTCTTCTCCAGTTTCATCTCTGTTTACCATCCCTCTTTGCACATTATGCTCTAGTATTTATGATCATTCATTTCCTCATACATCATCCCCTGTCTTGATTCAGGGCCTTTATATATGCAGTAGCATCTACCTGAAACATTCTTGTCACCTTTCTTCATCTGATTTACTTCTATTTATCCCTCCAGTATCAGCTTAAATCATCACTTGCTCTAGAATGCTTTCCCCAACCCTAAACTAGGTCACTTACCTCTAGTATTATGTTCTTGTAACCCCTTTTAGTTCTCTTGCCATCACTTTATTATCATTACTTGTTCAATGTCTTTCCTATTACAGTTGACCCTTGAACAATGCGGGGGTTAGGGACACCCGGCTCTGTGCAGTTGAAAATTCACGTATAACTTTTGATTCCCCAATTGTCCCTAATTCCGAGGAGGATTGGTTCCAGGACCACGCCCCCCCCACCCCCCGCACGCCTCCACAGTTACTAATGTCTGTGAGTGCTCAAGTCCCTTATATAGAACAATGCTTATAGTTTGGTCCTCTACATCTGTGGATTTCCAACCACAGATCAAAAATACTGTTTTTGATCTGTGCTTGACTGAATCTGTGGATGTGAAACACAGGGATGTGGAAGGCAAACTGTATATTGAAAAAATCGGCATATAAATAGATCCACACAGTTCAAACATGGGTTGTTTCAAGGGTCAACTGCATATGATAAGCTGATTCTTTATTATATTTACTTGTTGAGTGTCATTCCAATGATAGAGTTTTGCAGTGGCAGAGACATAGTGTATTTTGTTCACTGCTTTATTCTCATTGCATATCACTTACCGCAGACATAATAAATAATGGTGAAATGACAGAGTGAATGAACCATACCTAACTTTTTAGTTACTAAGAGTGGATATAGGATTTACTTTGGAATTAGACTCAACATGAAAGAGCCTTGTATATGAACTCAGTGGAGTAGTCTTTCATTTGCTGTTAAATAACTCCATGATTATGGGTGTGTCTCTTAACTTATAGAAGCACAGTATCCTATTCTGAATTATAAAAATTATGAATTAGATCATTAAATGTCTTCTGTATCTCTAATGCTCAGTGTTCTCTATGTCTGGAGTGTCTAGGATCCCAAACTACCCAATTTGTTCCCATAGAGCAAAATTTATTCCCTTTCAAAGTCAAGAAGGATATATAATTATTTTAAACAAATTTCTAAAACAAAAACAAAAACAAAAAAACAACAACAAGATAAAACAAAACAGAAACAAAACAAAACAAAAACACAATTTCTCTACTTTGCAACACCAGTT